GGAAAGGGATGGGGTGTGTGTGGGCAGAGGAGGGTAATATCTGGCATAGTTAAGGTGTGTGGGGGCAGAGGAGAGAGGGAGGAAAGGGATGGGGTGTGTGGGGGCAGAAGAGGGAACGAGGAATTAGCTCTTAACATCAGTGGCTATTGCTCAACATCCTGCACAGTTAATCCTCTGGACACCAGAGCAATCAATGCTGGCAGGCCTTTTCTCAGTTGCTCTCTCTGAAAAAAGATGTATTCAAGGGACACTGGACCCGGTTTCCAGCAGGTGATGCTCCCCACCAATAGATGGAGCCGTTAAAAAAAAAAACCTCGTACATATGTGGTTATCCATGACCAGCTTTCCAACGTGCCAGACATCTAGGGGAGAGGGCATGGGGAAGGCGGGAGGGCAAGCACACTAAGCAAGCAAACCAAAAAAACAAGTCCCGAAAGGATGCCAAGACCAGGCAGCCAAGAAAAAGCATCAGGGCATGCTAAAACCAAGCAAGCAAAAAACATCAAGGCTTAGGCTGGAGGGCACGGGGAGCCGGGACGGCAGACAACATGCAAGCGTACGAAACCGGCACACAAGCACAAGTCCCAAGCAAATAGAAAGGAGAAAAAAATAAAACCTGATGATAACCAGATTGTTTCGTCGGAGTTGCACCGACTCATCAGGAGGCTGAACCCTCGACAATCTGCGGACTCCCCGTACTTGATGGCTTGGCTTATGAACCCTTTGACCCTTGTTGAAACCAGACTGTCCCCAAGCAGGACATAGTAGCAGCAGCAACCCTGCGGAGCACCAGGCAACGCAGTAGAGGCAGCCCAATTGCTTATCACCAAAGACGACTGCAAGGAACGACAGGGCAAGCGGACGAGCAGCTCGGCAACCGTGCGGTGAAGTGCAAAGCAGCATCAGCAAGGCGACCAGACTACAAGGCACGCAAGCAAGTAAAGGATGTGGAAATCCAACAGGGCAGGTGGACGAGCAGCTCAGCAATGTGCAATGAAGCACAAGGCACCACCAACAAGGCAACCAAACTACAAGGCGTGCAAGCAAAGGACACTGAAGGCCGACAGGGCACACGAACAAGCAGCTCAGCAACCGTGCAGTGAAGCACAAGGCTACCAGACCACAAGGCATGTGAGCAAAAGACACGGGAGGCACGGCCTGCGGATGAGCTGGCAAAGCAGCAGAGCAGTGAGGAAGACCTGCAAAGCAAGCAGCACGGGCAGCAAGGCAGCGGCAGAGCGCAGACAAACAGTCTACACATTCAACACGGAGCAAAGCGGCACATGACCTACTGACATCACAAATTAACCCCGCGGAGTTGGTTCCCACCACCCACTGAGCCAGGGAGACACTCCGATGACCATCCGTCATCACCCACAACAGATCCCGAACCAAGTGGCCTCCCTAAGAGTGCAGTAGGCACTCCAAATGATGACCCACCTACTGTTTGGCACTGCTAAAGGGTGCTCAGCTGGGGACACAAAAGTACTTGGAAAAAAAAAAGGAAAGGGGGAAAAAAAAACATACCTAAAACTGATTGTGTGTGTGTGTGTGTGTGTGTGTGTGTGTGTGTGTGAGCGTGCGCACGCGCGAGAGAGAGAGGGGTGGGAAAGGGTGAGGACTAGGGGGAAGTCGAGGCAGTGCTTGGTGGGCTGAGGGCGTTTCATTTTTCATTTTGTTGCTTGTGTATATGTGTGCGAAGCTTGAGCCCTCACGAGGCCCTTACAGATATGCAAGTGTTCTGGGCTGTGGCCCCCAGCAAGCATTGTGCACGCCCTAAGTGAAGCCGGGCCTGAATATCCACAAGAGCCCTACGTTCGACATTTTCCATACGTGGGTATCAAACAGTTGAGCAACGTGAGCTGCTCCTGGCTCTATCCGGAAGCAACAGCTGAGCTGCACAATTGAGCCCAGGGCCTCGGTTAGTTGCGCCCTGGGCACACACACACACACAGGCCGACACATCATGTAGTGGCCGCGGGCCAATGAGAAAGCAGCATTGTCGTCACACATGCACCGCAAACCAATAAGAATGCGGCAAACACTTGGAGCCTGTAGGGCTGCTGGATGTGCCCAACTGTAAAGGGCTCCGGCCCGTAACAGTAAAAGTGGGCCTGGGTGCAGACACTGGGGCCCGACTGGAAGCTACTGGCAACTGTCGATGAATACCAAATTGCAAGGAATATGAGCGAGAGCCATAGACAGAAAAACAAGTTCCAAAATCACGAAGTAGTCCAGATAGTCATGTTCCAAGCAGAGAGCACAATGCACCAAGATACCGTCCAAATAAGAGCAATACAATGAACTCGAGTGCCAGTGTCGATGCTCTCTGGTCACACCAATACTGTATCCAATATCGCCCCTAATGTATGGCGCCCAGCGCCCAGCCTACACTACTTAGCCTATCTATCCTATCTACGTTCTCTCTGCTCCCCTCGTCACCTTTTGATTCCCTCTGCATGCGCCTCGTCCCCGAAGACCACCATCGTCATCACCTGCACCCGCAGGCTCGGCCCGACTATGGCCGCTGTGTGCCCACTGCCACCCCAGTGCCCTCTCAACTCTTGCCCCCGCGTGCGCCCTGGCCTGGCCACATAGCGCAGCTTCGCATGGCGTAGCAGCAGCGTGCTACATTGCCTGCTCAGGGCAGAATATCCCTGCCTGGGCAGGGCACTTTCATTTATGGAAAGTGCGGCCCTGTGTTGGGCTGCGTGGGCCTGGCTGGATTCATGTCCGCTATAGGGCCTCGTCACACCTCTGTCGAAACGTTAAAAAAACTGGATGCAATCTGGTGCAGTCATGCATGGGGGTGGGAAGATTGTCCACTCCCCAAGCATGACTGCGCCGGACTCTTTCGTCGAACTTTCATCGACTCTTGCATTCATGTTCGCTATAGGGCCTCGACACACCTCTGTCAAAACGTTAAAAAAAATGAATACATATTCCACAGGAAGTCGTAAGAAGATGCATCCATTGCTCCATTGCTACTCATAGCAACAGAAGCATCTTGCCATTCTCTGCGGGAAGATGCACACGTACAAAAAATACTCGTAGCAACAGAAGCATCTTGCCATTCTCTGCGGGAAGATGCACACGTACCTTTTTCGTTTCAGCAGTAGTGTGGCGAGGCCCTCAAAAAGTACAACCGCCACAGACTGTTTCGTTGGACTTTTCACCTTCCGCAGGAGGTGGTAAGATGCATCGGTTGCTATTTCATAGCGACAGAAGCATCTTGACATTCTCTGCGGGAAGATGCACCTGTACTTTTTTCATTTCGGCAGTGGTGTGGTGAGGCCCACAGAAAACATGACCGCCCCAAACTGTTTCATTGGACTTTCACCGACTCATCAAAGAAGGCTGAACCCCGGCAGTCTGCCCACGATGCATTTGACTGATGGATAAAGACTCGACACATCACCCAGAGTTAGGCATACCCTGGGGAGAGAGAAAAGTGGTAGACTTTCCTGACACCAACCCTGCAATTCTAGCAGACTGTCGGTCCAAACCCCAGGTTCCAACCAGCCCTGCAATGCAAGCAGACTGTCGGTCAAACCCCTGGTAAGAATGGCCCTAGGTCGAGTCTGTCACATCCATAAAAACGCACTCTAGACAGAAGAAACGAACTAAATAAAACTGCAAGACAGCTGGCCACCAACCTCACAATGTCAAGGGAGTTTATAGACCTCAGTTTCTATATCCCTCTCTCTCACACACCCATAGACATGTACGTAGAATACATATAAAAGGCAGTGGCAAACTGTTGAAGATGCCGGATTGGACACGTATGGAGAATACACATAAAACGCAGTGGCAAACTGTTGAAGCTACCGGATTGGACGACTGCCCCGTAGTCACTAAGGCCGCGAGCGACCAAAGCCCTGAGTGCTGCATTCTCTTCCCCTCCTGCGTGTCTGTTCTCTCTCTCTCTCTCTCTCTCTCTCTCTCTCTCTCTCTCTCTCTCTCTCTCTCTCTCTCTCTCT